TTTTTCGGACATTCGATGCTAACTGTGACGGGACTATAGATTTTAGGTTAACTATCTTATAATCAAATAGATTTGCCTTTTAAAGTGAGATTTATTCACGTGTTTAGAGAATTTTTATGCGCTCTTTCGGTCACATCTCGGGGAAAGTTGGAGCAAAAACTGAAGTGGGCTTTCAGTATGTATGACTTGGATGGCAATGGATATATCAGCCGGCAAGAGATGCTCGAAATAGTGACGGTTTGTAGAAATGACATTAAATGTGAATATATTAGAGCAGCTCATAATGTAATGATACCAATAGGCGATCTATAAGATGGTGGGATCGGTCATGAAAATGCCTGACGACGAGTCCACTCCCGAGAAGAGAACCGACAAAATATTCCGACAAATGGATCAGAACTCTGACGGCAGGCTATCTCTGGAGGAGTTCATCGAAGGCGCCAAAAGTGATCCATCGATCGTTCGGTTACTTCAATGTGATTCTCAAACGTGATATAAATGTCTTACGATTTCGTCTTCAACTTTAGATATTTAAGCCACACTTACAGACCTGATATGAGACATGAGACATGACATCATTATTACTGTTTTAACTGAAGCACAGAATTCTCGCATTCAATACAATATAGAGTTTCAAATGATATTAAATGAGACAAATTTTATCCATTTTATCATACGGTAAATCATATTCAATAAGAATACAATTTTTAATTATTAAAACAAATTAACAATATTTCAGTCGATTAGTTCAGTCGAAACCTCCTGTGCCTCACATTTGTATTATACACATAACAAACACATTCATTATGTGAATGTTTCTCTCAATCAGATTCTATGATATGAAATTGTGGCCATTGGCTGGTGTTTTGTGTGGCCAGTGTCGGGGCCACTGTCTGTGGGGTCACCTTCACGAAGATCGAGATCACTAACGCAATGAAACATAAAAAATATAATTATTACACATTTGTATTTGAAATTAAACTTTTTATTACCGGTACTTATTTATTAATCACTAAAATTTTATTTAAAAATAAAATATAATATATTTGAAAGTCAAACATTTATCGCTCATCACTGGATATTGAGACCTATTTCAGGTCTTATAGTATTATTAATATTGAATAAAATAATGAAATTAGTTTCAATATATTTGTAACTTATTAATACAACTATTCAATACTTACGAACCAGACCCTTTATACGGGTTTGACTTTTAATGCACATATAAATCCCGATTTTTCCCCCTTCTGAAAATCCGATTATCGAAAAATATTTGTAACCCAGTATCTAAACAAATATATTAAATCTATGTTTGAAGTATTCATATTATTTAAATATTCATAAGTAATTACATCCATTAATTTGAGAGCACAGTCCGCATCATTTAAATAGACATTGCGATCATATCTCCTTTCCGGAGGTCGGGATCGACCCCAACCGGGTAGCTCTATGCATATCAACGTATATTTATCCTGGTCAAATGCGTATTCACCCTCCAGTTGCGGCATGAAGTCACTTCTGCCGGTACCTGACAGAGTTGCCAAGTTAATAAATATTTTACACAATTGTTATATATTTAACATACCAATAGCTCCGGGTATAAGTAATAAGACATCAGGTCCTGACCCAAACTTCTCATACCAAACCGGCCAACCGTTAATGTCTACCTTTGCACTCGTCATCTCTATGGATGTTCAGTCACTTTCAAGTTTTATTAAACTATTGTCTTATTTAAACACAGATTTTGTTTAATTTATAAAAAAATATAGCTGTACAGCAACTCGGTTGTCAAAAACTACTGAATATTTCCAAGTATATGTGTTTACGAAAGCAATGCAATAATCCGTAACACTAACTGAATTCAAAACTGGTTTTTTAAATCACCATTATTTTTTATATTTCACATCTCAATTATTAACTTTCCATATTTTGTAATAAGCCTAATGATAGCAATGAGCAATTTTAAAAATATCCTTTATATGTTATAAACATTCGCAACTATAATTATCTATTAAAAATAATGATAATAAATTTATTGATTATATATTTAATGCTCTATTAATTGACTAATAAACTGATAAGGGTTTAAATAATCATCAAAATTAAAGATTACTTTTTAAAATTCTTAGCTTATAAGAATTAATATGTACTGTATATTTTGTTTAAAAGTTAACTAGAATATTTCAAATTAATAAAATAATATTTCATAATTTTGTAGCAAATGTAACAAATTCATTAATTTTATATAATAAAAGGTCTTGCTAAATCTATTAATATATACATTAAAAATAATTATAGGCATAATTATTTCTTAATATATGTACTAAAATTTATATATTATGTGGAAAATTATATTTAAAAAATAACAGAATTTCCACGTGTTATTATAAACACATTTATAGCATTAAAATAAAAAATTAATTTATTAATAGTAAAATATATAATATAAATTAAACCCACTTTGCTACTTAAATTATAAAAAATAATCCATAACATTACACAAGATAACACTTAAATTATATTAATAACTTTTTAAAGTCAACTACACCTGTACAAATTAAAACATATTATAGGTTAAACCTAACCTGAAAGTATTTAAAACAATTTTAACGATTAGAAAAATCCCATTTAAAATGATAGCAATCAAGAATATAGTGAACTGGGTCATCTACACCCGTGTATCTCGCACACCCTATTAGAATGGCACCAAACATAAGGCAATAGTCGGGTCACTCTCATAGCAAACGCGATGAATACTAATGAGTCGTACGTCTTATGTGAACAACGAATCCATTGAATCGCAAGAAATTGTTTGGCAATTGATTCGCAAAACAATTATTGCTTTCAAAGGATTACTCGTTATTCGCACTCATTATGCGTTGGCTTTACATTTGAGTGACATTTCAATTGATCCGGTTATCAGTGGCTAACCATTACTTGCAATACACGCCACGATATGTCTGAACCACACTCTGGAGCACACGACTGGTTCCAAAGCATTGTCATCGGCATCGAAGGGGCCATAAGTATTGGTCTATTAATCGGTGGTTACTTCGCGTACAGACAACTCAAAGCAATGATATCTCGCATTGAATCCAAAGACACACCACAAGCGCACCGACACACTGAAGATGCCGTTCACGTGCACATGGATGTGAACCCTACGGACACGCCTACGAAGACATCGCTCTCTAAAAGCGATCTCAAAAGCTCTGAAACCACTCATTCATCCACTAAGTCGTCGCGAACTAAGACTATATTGAGTGACGAGTCCATCGGATCCAAGGATAGAACGAAGACAACAGAACCCAACAAACCATCGACTGGTTTGCAGACAATACGAGAGACACAAGAGTTGCCAAAAGCGATGCCAAAGACAGAGATGGAGGCGAATGCGATGGACGAGTCAATTGGTGGTGAAGTGCCGGACATGTATCGACTCGATCTACTCGTCCGATACCCTCTGAGTCCACGCGAGACCTCCAGTGATAGTAGTCTATTGAATGACACGAAGAGCCAAATCGACTCCGTTTTGGACCAAACTTTCGACGATATGATCGAAACCGTCATTAATATGAACGAAGAGACCCTTCGATACGACTACTCGTCCGAAGAAAACTTGCATTAAATTAATGTTTATTTAGTTTCAAATACAGTATTCATTAGCAATTCATTCAACATTTTTACCGGTAATTCATTAACAAATCCAAAAACTTGAGTTCATATCAAATATAAATTATTTCATTAAGATTTCACACAAATATTGTAATCAAACAAATGCCATACTTTTCATGCTTTAAAACTTATCAAACAAAATGTGATTCAGAAGTAATATGTGATTAAAATTACTATTTATATAAATGACAGACAAATGGAAATAAACATTAAGTATTGATTAAAAAAATAGTTGTAATCATTTGAACGAATTAAGGCTATAATCAAATCAAAGGGTATATCAAAGCAATAAATATTGAAATCGCGTTTAAATTAAACAAAAACGACTGAAACAAATGCAGTAATCGTTAGCTGTCTTAAGAGATCACTGGATGTCTTAAGAGTTAACGTTTGCGACCCCTCTTTGGTTTCGCGGTCGCCTTCTTGAGCGCCAACCGTTCTCTGACTTCAATCTCTGTAGGCGTCGGCACATAAGTGTCTGTCCGTCCATTGCATCCATTGGGTTGCGTCGGTGTTGTCGACGGTCTGGCAGTCGGTGTGCGAGTCGTGCGTCCACTCAAATCAAGTGACAGTGAATTGCGAGTGTCTTTCGACACAACCAATGGCGTCGACTTCGGTGTCGCCGCAGACTTTCGCGTCGGCCGTCCTCTCAGCGTCTTTGTGTTCATCACTATCTTTACGTCCGGTTTCGTGTCTTCGCGTTCATCCGTGTCTTCGGAGCTATCGTTCTGTCGGTTACTCCAAGCGTTGCTTCGACTCAACCTCTTGGACGTGAAAGTGGTGTCGATGTCTGACTCCAAGTCCGACGCATTGGCCGTACGAATGGATTTCCTTCCGCTTATCATTTGTCTCATTCTTGTGCCCAAACCGTCGCTAAATGGCGGCGACTGATAGCCAGTCATCGGATCGCTGGTCACGTCCGACGAGCGATTCCTCTTCGGCGACGACGTCATTGTCGTCGACTCGCGCTTCCGCTTCAGTTGACTACTGGCTCTGGAAGTGTTGGCAAAGAGCTCTTCGGTCTCAACGCCCATAATGTCATTCACTTTGGACTCCAACTCTTGGCTATCGTGCAACTGCTTCAACGCCTTCCTCAGCAGTGACTTCTGAGCCATATTCAGGTCGGGAAGGAGTGGCAGGTCTTCCTTGATGTCGAACGCCAGCAGCGAATCCTTGTCTTGATATCCATTGTCGACCATCACGTCAATGGACTGCTGATCGATGGCCGAGAATTGAGACAAATATCTTTCGGTGAAGTTGTTGTCGACTTCCATCGAGTCGTCCTCTTCGGTGAACACGTTTGCGATGTATCTGTGGATTGAATTCATCGGAGTTTTTGGCGTTTCATACAAACGTCAAACCAATGGACAAACTTTGGGATCAAGTCTTCAGCGAAAGTAACGGTTTGTTTTGAAACGTTTCACAACAAGACATGCGTTTTAGGCTCTCGTCTCACGTGTTCACATCAATGCGTATTATTCTTACGCAAAATGTCTACAAATTCTTTACTTACTCTGTACTCAATATCATTATTTCTATGGAGAAAACATTCACAACAAACGTAACATTTTGTGAGTGAGGGGTGACTCAAACAATCGATGAGTGCATTGCATTGTAAACGTACGCGAAATTGCAAACAATAACAAAAGGATTATAAATATTAGGCAATAAAACATCACGTGATCTATGAATTGATCCGATTATCGCTATTTCCACACAAAATTGAAATCTTTGGCCGAAAATCGAGATTCCGTTTGAAATCCGCAGACATTTGAAGACATAATTGAGTGGACAATGAGTGGTGATGTGGAAGCGTTCGCACGACTTCTTCAGCAGTCGTTCACACGACAGGACGGCTCGCATCTGATCCAATTGGACCAATGGATGGCCACCTCTACCAACGTCTACACCGATGTCTTATCACTCGTGAGCCACTTGTCGGCCACTAATCCCAGACTGAGTGGCATTAAGACATCGCTTCCGTATATAGTGGTCGAGAGACTGCAGCAATACGTGAACTCTTGTGCCAACGGATCCCAAATGACGGCCAACCTGTTGACGCAAACGGTGTGCAAGAATGCCCTGAACTTCGCGCTCAAGAAGAATAACAAGACATGGGTTGACATCATTGTCGATGTGTTTCATCTGCAGAGTCTGAGTCGCGAGGATTTGTTGGCAATTGTGCGCCAATTGCTGTTCGAGAAGCGCTTCTTCGACGCCTCACTCATTGTCGTGAAGTTCGAGTTAAGGGATCACTTCGATGTCACCGAACTCCTGGTTCCGCTACTGTTTCAGGTGTGTGTGTTGTCCGCCACACCATTGACACCGCATTCACTCACTCACTACTAACTGATCCCATCTCTTAGGATAAGCTGACAGTAGTGGACGACTACATCCGCGGCCACGAGAAGACACACGGCTTTGAGTTCTTAAAGTTTTTGGACAAATGTATTGTCGACCGGAGTATCGGTGACACGATTGGCCAACAGATACCCAACGCCCGCAGAGACAAAATGGACCCCAAAATGCTGACCAAATTGGTCGCTCGGCTACTAAAGCAGCACCGGATCGATGAGAGCGCCTGTCCTAACATTGTCTCACAACGCAATGGCAAACAACTCAAGTATCTGCTCTACAAGAGGTTCATCGAAGTCTGTCACCAAAATAAGCCATTGTTTCGAGTGTTTTACTAATGAGTGGTAAATGTGTGGTGTTTTAGGGCGGCTTTTCCGATGGCTCGTGGCGTGAGATCATTATCAACACAGTGGCCGACAATAAAGAACTTCATGAAGAGTTGATTTATCAGGTCGTGTCGTACGGCGACTACAACGACGCCTTCAAATGGGCCCAACATTTCGATATACCGGTCGACCGGCGGCCGCACTGTATAATGAATATGACTGAAAGCGCGGCACCGGTGCCAACGTAAACACAGTTTTGTTCTGCATTTCCAAAGTGTTGTAACCATTGATTGGATTTTATAGCGATTCGTGGGACGGTTGGGGCGATGAGGACTTGACCGACAATTACCACTCTTTGAAGCTCTCATTACTTGATTCAGTCGTTTGGGTGAACAATGATCTCAAATTCGGGTCTTTTATTAAACACATCACTGAAGTAATGCTAAATCGATGTAAAGTGTATTTGTGTGTTAATTGTCTTGTTTTCTCTGAAGGGCTATCAAATGATTGGAATCGATGGCGAGTGGCCACCATCTCTGGGATCAAACGCTCAGAAGTTATCGATACTACAGATCGCGTCGTGTGATTCGTGTCATATAATTGATATCTTAAACTTAAATCAATCAAAAATGGGGACTCTATTCACGGAACAAATACTGAACTCGAAGTCAATACTAAAACTCGGTTTTGGTATTCATAACGACTTGTCTCTAATCAAGGAGTCGTTTAATATGAGCGCAAACTTTAGGCCACAGAATGTGTTGGATTTGTCCAAATTCATGGAATATATATTGAGTGAATTCACGGATCTTATCGCCGACACAGTCATAGCTGAGGCCCGAAGAAAAGACTTGAAAGGGTTGTCCAAAACTGTGTTCATACTGTTGGGCAAAGCGCTCAACAAATCGGAACAGTTTTCCGATTGGAATCGGCGGCCATTACGCGAAGATCAGGTGAAATACGCGGCTTTGGATGCCTTCTGTTTGGTTGAAGTGTTCAATAAATTGAAGCAATTGTTTGAAGAAAAGGGCTATAATTTCGAGGAATTTGTGCACAATTTTATTGCCGGAAAACTACATAAAACTAACAAACAAATCAAGGATAAGGTCAACGAGGGTCAGCCAGAGATCACATACCCGCCCATTAATGTCAAGAACTTTCGCTGCGTCTGCGATACTATGCTTCAGGGTATGAGTGCTTTCGTTGAGTCATTTAAGTCCCAGATTTCATAGTTTTTATGACATAAGGTTTGGGTCGTTATCTGCGTATATGCGGCGCCGACGTCGAGATACTGGAGTCGACCGACAATCACGATATCCGCCGCGCGTAACGCTACCTTGTCTCGGCCTATGAGAACTGCACACCGCGCGGGATGCTCATGATGTTCTCAGCTGACAGGTGACCATACACAATAGCGCACTCATTATTGCGCAGCCGGAAGCTACAAATGGAAATGGTTTTGATTCGCTTCAACATCAAAGTCAATGAGGAAGACCTGTTCACGCGGTGCCCGAAATGCAATTGCAATCACTTTCAGGTGATGACTGTGAGCCAAATGCAGGACACGTACCGAAACCGGAGTCACTATAAGACCAAATCGGGAGCGCCCGTCAAGTTCGAGGGCTTTCACGTCAGTACTTTCGATACGGTTAAGGAGTTCCTGTTGTGCACCAAATGCGGCCAAATCTTTTGGGACGGCTGTCACCAAACCCGATGGAAAGACAAGATTCAGTCCATTCTATTCCCCAATCAGACGCCCACTAAAGCTCACGACCCGGAAGTGATTTGTTTGGATTGACTTGTATTACAAGTTTACAGTTATTTGCCTTCAATTTGTCAATTTATAGCCAATTTTTAAATTTAAACTAATTTTTACTGTTTTTTAATTAAATACATTGATCTCTATTTATTTATAAACACAAATACAGCTAAAAAAGTTTGTCGTTATCCTTTGGATTCATAATTAAATTATTTTTATATAAAGTTATAAAAAAGTAATAAAATAAAAACAATTTATTATAATTTACAAGTACTGGTAAAACAATGTTGAATACTTATGGATTAATAGAGCAATCGTTGATTTTGAGGGACTTATCCTTAGTTGCTTTAGTGTAACCGAATTTCTCGCACTTATCCTTACATTCCTTAAGTGTCTGGAAGTTATTTTTGTTGCCATAACAGCCATAGTATAGGAAACAGTCGCACGACTTCCTATCAGGGTGATAATAGTAGCGAATACTCAGTTTTCCCACATTTCCCGGGCACCAGAAGCCCGAGTCCTGCATCGACTCCAGACACGTCTGTATGACAGACACTTTCGTCATGTTTAGCCAATCCTTGATTTCATCCAATTTGTTGTTAACTATTTTCTCCACTTTTAGTCCTAAATTCTGCTTCGGTTCCGGTTTGGGAGTCATTCCCTTCTGCTTCGGTTCCGGTTTGGGAGTCACTCCCATTCGCAGCTCTATTTGGGGGTAATTTTTCAGTTTTATTCATTTCATTCAAACGTCACTTTAAAGGACTTATGAAGTCATACCTCCGAATCTGGCTTTTGTGACACGAGTTTGCGATTTATCAGTAGTAGTGGTCGGACGCGACTCTTCCTTGTGATCTTCACCGCCTTCCGCCGAATCTTTCTGTCCATTTTCATCGACCAGTTCAGCGTTTGGATCCATGTCTGGCGCTTCTGTGGCATTGATTTGTTCGCCATTCATCTCGTAGTCGTGTGTCATCACATCCAGCGATGCCTGAAGTCCAACGTCTTCCTCAGGATTGGTCTCTTCAGTGGTGTCGGAAACCTGGGGTTTATTTGTTGTCACTTTTAGTTTGACAGTAGTTTTAGATGTTTTTTTCGCAGTTCTTGTAGTTATAATTGGTTTCATATGAATATAGGATTTAGTTGTCTTTTGAAATTCAGTGGTTCTCACACTTTCTGTGCTTTCAATTTCTGACTTTAAAGTTGTTTGCGATTCATATGATTCTTGACTCTGTGTTGTATCCACAGTAGTGTCAGCACTGGTTTCCGATTCACTCAATGTTTCACTAACTAATGTCTGGGTAGTGGTTGTGGTATCGCTATCGGAATCAGTAGTCGTTTCTAAATCACTTTCACAAGTAGTTTGTTTGTCCGTTGAATATGCATTCACTTCAGTCGCTTCAGTAACACAAGTTGTTTCCAAATCACTTGATGTCTGTTCGTGCCCACTGTCTGTTAAATCGCTGGCATCAGTGGTACTCTCATTTTCACTCTCTGTTGTGTATACCTCTATCGGAGCTCTTGTTTTCAAAACATCTACATATAGAAAATGAAACCGCAGTTTAGTTTGAGAATCAATGAGTGGTCAGACATCACATTACTCTTGTACTTGTGATTAGATCCCAAGGCATAACCACATTTGGCAATCACCACAATTGCTAATATGGAAACCAATCGCTTTAATAATATTGTATTGAATGTCATTGCGATTCAAAACCATATTTAGACATTTGTTTAAGTATTTATTTATTTATATAAATTTTAATAAAATTAGTTTAACTTTATTCTCTAATGGCTTACACTTTTTTAATTACATAATAAAATGTTAATTTTTGTGATTCAATTGATACAAATATCAATAAGAAATTTACGATAGTGATATTGATAACTAATTTAAATAATTAATTACCGTAATTTCAATGCCATTACAAAGTTTTGGAAAGTTTATGAGTAATAAATCATTTAACTGCACCATGTTTTATACTTCATTACAATATGATCGAGAATATTATAACTAACTTTGACTATTGATATGTGTTTAGAAAGGTTATCTTACAATTTTATTTCAAATTACTAAATTATTAGTAAATTATCCATTCAAAATTCATATGAGAACTTTAGTTTATTACAGTAGTAAGTAAAATGAAAAATAATATTAATATGTGATACAAACATGAATTTCATTAATTAGCATGTTACTTTATGAATAGGCAATTAGACGTATATAAACGTACCGTCACATTGAGAAAGCTTATTATCCGTTTGAATTGATCACATTTTATATTAATATGTGATACAAACATGAATTTCATTAATTAGCATGTTCATGTTACTTTATGAATAGGCAATTAGACGTATATAAACGTACCGTCACATTGAGAAAGCTTATTATCCGTTTGAATTGATCACATTTTCGTATCACAAAGGTTGGACCACATAAACTGGTCACATCACTACAATTTATATTTTAACACTAGTCTCACAGATATATTGAGCGATATTGTGATCAAACAACGGGACCAACATTTAGGTATATCTTATTTTATTACATTTTCCATATAATTTTCATATAAAAGTATTTATTGGGTAATAGATATTAAATTAAATTTCAATTTTAACTGCTCATTCAATTAAGTATGAGCATGATAATTCAATTAAGCATGACAATACAATTAAGTATAATATTAACAGTGAATCGGGGGGTCACCAAACGATTACACAATGAGTTCTTCACACACGAGTGGATTGTCTAACAAATATCAGCTGAAGACGAGACAAAAGCAATTTGCGAGGAAAAAGTTGGGCAAACAGAGGCCGACACCACATAATATGTTACGACCGGCCGTATTGTCCCAATCCTACACACGAGTGGATTGTCTAACAAATATCAGCTGAAGACGAGACAAAAGCAATTTGCGAGGAAAAAGTTGGGCAAACAGAGGCCGACACCACATAATATGTTACGACCGGCCGTATTGTCCCAATCCTTCAAAACCTATTTGAGACGATATCCGAAGAGTGGACGGCAGACAACAGTTGCCAATAGAAATGAATGCCTGACCGACGAGAGGGCGACGGATGGTGTGGCGAACGGATCCGACGAACAGAAGAGTGTTATGAGTAATCCAATGCTGACGGCCATCGCCGACGCTTACTATAAAACGCTGGGAAAGGGACACATCGTTATCAGTGAGGACGACCTCATTGTCCTTGAGTTTGGTGCCAACGAAACGATTCGCAATAAATATAACGATTGTCACAAAGAAGTGCTCGACTTCTGCGAAGAGCTGAATATCGCGTCACAGATTCCCGAAGAAGAGTACGAGGATAATAACAGGAACTGGTTGGACGTACTGGTGCTCAGGAGCTGCTGGTGGTTCAGTCAAAGCGGTTGGAGGGATGGGAGGGATGGGAGGGACGACACCGAGAAGAACGAGAAGGATGTGATTCGAGTGAACGGGAGGTATGGGTTGCAAAGGGGTCACAACCCCAAACTGGAACCGCTCTTCTCCATGGCCTACGCTCTCGAGGAAATGTCAGTCAACGTGTACGAGGTATCACTTCTGACCACTTTTGCACTGCTCAACGGCATGAGATCCCTGGCCGATAACAACACTGCATCCGCGCGAATGCGAAAGAAAGTCCATCAACTTCTGGGCCAATATGAACAGGAGTTCTATGGCGGACACACCTTAAGATTATCACAGATTATGACCAATCAAAGCAAATTACACCGAATTGTGTCCAACTTTTAGTATTACTAACCCTTTTAACTACTTTTGAGATGAATCATATGCTTATCAATTTAAATTTGCATTCAATTATTGAATTTCAATAACTTTTCACCTGATAATTGTTTTAAACTTATTAATTAATTAGATTTAATCCTAACGTGTCTAATGAATCTTTGTATTAATATTAATATAACACCTGTCGTCTACTTTGTACACAGATTTCAAGTTGAATAGACTATTAAAATATTTATTATCTCTCGTCAAAATGCATTTGAGTGTTGAAAATGTTTTGCACCTGAAGTCTATACTGAATAATAATTAGCGCCGGTATTGCTATCATTGCAATGATTTGCTTCCATAACCACTTAAATTGGTTTTTTGTTTTTATTGTCTGATAAACATTTGAATTTCAAAAACGTGTATTACTTCTATTGGCTGACGAATTCACTACTGAACCAAATACTTATAAAACATCTTTTTAATAGTACCATTAATTTATAGATTTTTTTCTAAAACCTCGTGTGATTTATACAATACAAACAGTTATTGAATTTTAGTCAAACACTTAGTCATTGCAATCATGTATTCAGTGAAAAAACTATTCACATTAGTTTTGTTAAGTTTCTTAATAAATGTCTCGAAACAGGTCAGTGTTATCGTTAAGTCAACCCATTATATCGGGTCCATGAATATAGTCGATGGCACACAAGTGAACACATTTCTAGGCATACCCTACGCCCAGCCACCGGTCGGGCCCTTACGCTTCAGGAAGCCGTTGCCTATAGAGGAGCCCAAGAAGATAGTGGACGCCACTGAATGGCGTCCGGCCTGCTATCAAAACGATCTCTTCAAGGAGATCCTCATCAACAAGAGCGCCAGTGAGGACTGTCTGTTCCTCAACATATGGGCGCCGAAGAACGACAGCGAACGCAACTACGAAGACGAGCCCTTACGGCCGGTGCTCTTCTGGATCCACGGCGGCGCCTACATCTCCGACTCGGCCAGTCGTGACATATATAACAGCGAGTGGTTGGCCGCCAAGTCTGACGCCGTTGTCGTGACAATCAATTATCGATTGGATATCTTTGGCTTTCTGTATACGGGAACAGATGAGGCGCCGGGTATTGTAGTTGATCTCATAGCTGGATAACTCAATTGATTATGTATTTCAGGTAATGTCGGGCTCTGGGATCAGGCGCTGGCACTGGAGTGGGTGATCGATAATATCGCATACTTTGGCGGCGATCCTAAGAAGATCACACTCGTTGGCGAAAACGCCGGCGCTTTCTCTATTGGCGTCCATCTATTGTCTCCCATCAGTAGAAATCTCTATCAAAACGCTATTCTCATCTCCGGTTCGGCTCTTAATTACATAATCGGAGAGAATCCTGAAGTGGCGAAAGAGAAGTGGCTGTTGGCGGCCAAAGAGATTGCTTGCGGTAATGGCACTGAATTTGATGCCGAAACCATGGAATGCCTTCGCGGTAGAGAAGCCTCAGAGTTAGGCAAAACTCTTCTCAAATTGTCTCAAAAGGCAAAAGTCGAGAGAAGAAACTTCGACGAAATCACACCACAAGTGATATTTGGCGACACTTTTCTGCCGGAAGAGCCGCTGAAGATGATAGCCGACGGCAATCACAAGCGAAGTGTCAATGTGTTGATCGGACACACGGACGACGAGGGCGGGTATATGTTGCCGATGGTTGACATGGAGAAGTACTCCATCACTAATCCCAAACACATCACTAAAGGCGAGGCGTTTGACGACTTGAAGAAACTGACGAAACAGTTGATCACCAAAACGCCAATCGATGGCGAGAATGTGGCCAAGACTTACATTGGTCCGATATCATCGAGTGAGACCACAATACTCAGGCGTACACTTGGAGTAGCTTTGGGTGACTTTTACATCACATGTCCGACCATTTTGTTCGGGAAACTACTTTTCGCCAGCGATTCCAGTAAAGTCAATGTCTATCACTACTACTGGACCCGCAAAGTGAGTGAAAGAGCCGTTCCCTGCGCTGATTGGATGGGCAGTTGTCACGGGACAGACACTTATATGCTGTTCGGGGATCCGTTTGTCCACAAAGACGTTTATACCGATGAGGACAGGGAGGCGTCCGTCAATTTCATGAAAACGTTTTCCCATTTCGCAAAATATGGGTAATGAAGAGATTAGAAATGTTTTAAATCTAAACTTTAATCCTCTTTTATCCCCAATTCAGTCGACCTCTCAATCAATGGGACAAAGAGTGGCCGAAGTATTACATGAAGGACGAGGAGGTGATTGCACCCTATTATGAGTTTACTAATAAAAATGTTCAGAAAAAGAAAGTTTACGCCAAAAATCTGAAGACAAAACATTGCGAAAAACTGTGGAAAAAGTATATTCTTTGAAAACACGTGTATTTGTAGTGTATTTTTAATTAAATTTTGTTTCAAACATTTAATAACTAATTAATTCATAGTTAGTGTTAATTTATTATGAAAATAGATCTCTTATTTAAAACTTATATTTTTAATTTATATTCATATTACTGTAAAAGTGTTTGTATTACGCAATATTGAATTTGAATATCAAAAATAAACATAACATCTAGGAAACTTTTATTATACTATACAGTATCAATATCCTAAGGCTGATAGAATATCTGATTCAGACATCCAGACAAACATTGATATAGTTTTTAATAAAATTATAAAATATAAATAAATTTATGTAATGATTATACAAATACAGTATTTAAATAACTTTTTTAACAAATATGTTCTTAGTTAGTATCTAGATACTAGAATTAGAATTACCAGTACATGCAATTACTATGCTATCAGCTAGGCTAGTTTTAGAAAATATTTTGTAAAACACAGTCTATAAATAACATATTTACGATGGATTCAACTAGGAATTGACTATATTAAACTATTTGTCAAGGTAAATGTGTATGCAGTCCTAAAGTTCTAATTATTCGAAATTCTAATGTTCAATATAATGCTCCAGGTCATGTTCTCATAATTATACTGCATTCTAGTATTACAATATATAATAAACATTTACAATTCAATGACTTACAGTATTAGTTGAGATCTCACTTTTGTTATAAACTAAATGAGTGCCAAAATCTATCAATTGTTTGACTCAATCAAAGTCTATTTAAAGTAATTAATGTCATTGTGTTTGCAAGTGTTGGCTAATGTTGTATAATACAACTTGTAATGTATAAATAATCCTGTCAAAACTTTGCACCTATGTACTGAATAATTATTTTCTATACAAATCAAAAACATACTATTAATTTTTTATTAAAATAAAGTCTATTATAAGTGGAGGGTATATGAAATTTTGCATTAAATAGTTAAACATTAGCTTTGTTACACAGTCTCTGTGCAATCAACGATTATTTAACGTACAGTAACTAGCACAGTTAATTCTCCAATATGAATACATATACCTGTTTGTTGTAACCGTACAGACGTGGGCAAAGTTTTGTAGAAACACTGGTATCGCACTTGAATAGCACAACACAGACACGAATGCTAGCAATGTCTACAAATTGTGCGCCGAATAGGCGTTCATAGCATAAGCAGTAGTGAAAGCAATGCAATCAATGAAACAGTGAAACAAACACTTCATTCAATCAATTGTTTGGTTATTCAACACTTGATTCATGTTTTCATTGATTTAATCATTAATTGTGCGAAACATTGGATGAGATGACACTTACGATGAGGTCATCTATCGCTGTCTCAATCATATTGACTGCATTTGTGGCCACAATCTGGTGCGGAGACAATGATGAGGCAACCGGTCTGTCCTTTTAAATGCCTTTCCCTTCATATGTTTTGTTAACTAATACTTTGTTTTCATTATATAATCAACTCATCTATGAATGCATTTAGAAATTTGTTTATTTTAATCGCCAGTCAATGCAATGGTTAACTGATATTTAGGTGACATTCACTGCCATTCAATGATAATAGCCTTTAAAGTGGTGTGAATTGATTGCACGTATAGTTAAATGCATTTATTGATTGTCATTGAAATCAATACTTTTATGTTGTTTTGTTGTAACAGTTATTAATGTCATGTTATACCAAATGTTAGCTTATATTGAATTACAACACAACTATATAACACTTAATATTTAATGTATAAAATAACGATAAGCCCACAATTGACAGACAATACAATTAATTAGTAATAAAAAAAAATAATTTTTGCGTTAAACAGACTGCAAGTCAATAGCAACAGTGGACGGGGACTCCGGTAGTCTGAAAATATCGAACTTCTCGACGACATTGATCCCAAACACGATATGTTTGTGGAGAATGAACGGCACCGGCAAAAAGGACCTTAAGTTTCATGTGGATATCGAGGAACTGGTTCTCGGAGTGAATGATACCCTGGAAATACTGGACGAAAAGACTCAAAACAAGACGATATGGAAGGGCACGGGATCTCAATGGCCAGGAGTCATACTACTGGGGGGAAGCAAGTATTCCTCAGTATTGGTTAAGTTGTCGACCAGCGATGAGAAAATAAGCCGCGAATGGGATGTCGGCTACGCAACCACTTCACCCAATGTTCAACTCACTAACATTGAGAGCACCGGGAGGTTCGCACTGTATTACGACCCGGACGCAGATTTGGGTCTAATCGATCTGACCGTCATTTTGAAGACAAAATATGACTCCAAGAAGTTATTAGCAAACGTCGAGACATTTGATATGAATGGCGGAACCGTTACCTTTGATCAAGTGGTGAAGTATTCTAATACTACGTTTAAAACCGGAACAAAACCGGATTTTCTGCTCTCAACTGATCAGCAAATAAACGCCAAAATCATTTTCAATAAAGCATCCAAAGACAAGCCCAAAGGGTTTCAGTTGCACTACGAACTGGTGGACGCCCTGTGCTCTGTGTACACCCAGTTAACAGATGTGGACACTACGAGTATGGTTAACGTACTTCTGCCCAATACTACTCAATGGTTGCAATCATTAAGCAGTTATCGGTGTCTCAATGTGTTTGAGCACAAGACCCAAGAAGTGAAGTTGTCATTGAATTTAGAGAAATTCAGTTTCATTAATAGCGCGGATATGATCACTGTATTGGACGGCATTTCATATGATTCGCGCACATTAGCTGTCATTGAACCGCAGTTTGTGGACTTTTGGAGACATGTCAATTTGGTCTCATCGGCCAATAAGTTGTGGGTTTTGTTTAATTCGCCACAAGTGGTCAATACGACTATAGAAGTCACTAATCAACTGGGAATTAAAGCACAATCGCAAGGTTTGTATTCATTTAGATATTAGTTTGGTATCATTGACACACAATTAACTTTAATTATATGTCATTCAGGCGGTGATTATGTTTTCCAACCCAATCAAAACGCAACGAGTCTCAAACTCGATGACAAACTGAAAACCCTATTACCGGTGGTTTTCACATTTGAAACCGATTCGCAAAATCAATTAGTCATTGATTTTGATCAGACGACTCCATTGACCGGAAAAAGCAATGAAACTGTAATCACAATATACGAAAGCAGTGGTTTGGCGTCAGTATTTGAGCCAATCATTGAACTAAAAGGGGGTTCATTCCCACCCGATTTTGTGCCCTCCAATACCAACCAAATGAAAGTGGAGTTCCATAACATCTTCAAACTGGACAAACCTAATAACATTATGAATGTCAAGAAAACCTGTCACTCGACGGCTAGAGGGGTCCCCTCTTCGTACAGTCCGAGCGGTTGCGAGGAAATGTGTTTGTGGCTCATCCCGGCCCGCAATAACTCAATCGGCACTTATGTCCTGAAGTTTTCGCACATGAATTTGCCCGCCAAAGATGACACCATTACGATCACACAGTTTGGAGCCGACAAACCAAAAGATATTCTTAACCTTATAGGTAAGGCTTTAATTGGTTTGCGCGTTGAGTGTGTAATAAGTTTGCAAACTTTGAAATGATAGGACCTATCGTCGAAACGAATACATTCCCGGATGTGATACTCGACGCCAACGCCTCGTATATATTGTACACGAAGAGAGAGAAATGTGACGCAAAATCGGTGGACAGCTCGCAATTGTTTGCCGTTTCTGTGGTTTATATAGACTCCGATTTGATCACCAATTCATGGGTTTTGAAGAAAGACGAGAACAAAACCATTGAATCACTGAATTATCCCAACTATTACTCCATCGGAAACGATGAGATCTGGAACGTGAGTTCATCCGACAATAAGACGACCATTGCTTTCATAACATTCAATGATTTGAGTCTCAATACTGGACATTTCTTGGAGTTTAAGAGTAGCATTTCAGAAATCCATTTGAAAGACACGGATGTATTGTCGCAAACAGCGGACAGTTTATTAAGCTTTCCCTTCTTCGGGCGACTCAATGTCACCGACCATTCTAAGGCCCCTTACAGTGGCCGCGGATTCAACGCCACCTTATGGCCTCTTAGTTGCGGTGAATATGTGAAACTTGAACCCAAAAAGGTCGGGAGTCTGAAAACGCCCGACAAATTGGATGGCATATCGCAATGCGTTTGGATAGTGACCGCCGCTAAGAGCGATAAACTGAATGTGATTGAGTTCACAAAGAATGTGACCAAAGATTTGGACGCAAAGCAGTTACAGATTTATGACTCGAATACAATCCGCGACAAGAAGCTCGTCAATATGGAGTTGTTCACCAATACGACCCCTTCGAGTTCGACCGACACTTTGGTCATCATCTACAACGTCGACCCTAAGAAGAACCTGTCCATGAGTTTCACCCAAACGGGTATTAAATAGTGATTGTTTTGTTTGCAAGTCATGGTAATGATGTGCTAATTATTTGTTGCCAACACAGAGTGCGCGAACTTATGCCACAATCAAAAGCGTTGTCTTTTGAAGGAGTTTTCGTGCAATAATCTTAATGATTGCGGCGATTGGTCTGATGAGTTGGGATGCAATGGCACTCAACCCTCACCACCGGCGCCCACTCCCGAGCAAATAGTCGTACACTCAGGCGGTTTGTATTCAATTAACTCATGTTTAAGCGCTAATTGTAATGCTATGTTATCACTGATTATGTGTAGTGAATGGATGGGTGGTGACGCTTGTCATATGTCCACTGTTTGCGGGACTGGGAGTGTTGGGCACACTCTATGGGCCGAGACTTTTGGGCCGTTTCGGACGGGGCAGGTATCGCGAGTTCCAGGACTTCTCCGAAGTCTCATAAATTGTTATCTCATTGGGTATTACGTTATTATAAGTCAATTTAAGTTAATCTCTTATTAGAAACATTTTCTCAATTA